TGGCACCTCTTCTACCAATCCATCGATCTGGAAAGGTCTGATCTAAATATTGTCGAACACGTAATGCGTAATGTGGTGGGGCACCATCCTGTTGGAACATCAACCTATTCACAATGTACCGCCGATCATTCAATTATGGCTGTTAATGCAGGATCTATGGCGTCTTCCAGTAATTCCAAATACATTTCACCGGTCAAATTTTCAGGTAAGAAAAAAGTACCAACTAAATGATCGCCAAAAACACCAGTCCAAACATTTAATTTTTGTGGCTGCTGTGTATGAACCTCATGATAAATTGTGGGATTAGAATCGGACCAATATCGGCAGTTATGACGATTTACTACGCCATTTAAGAAAAGGGAACATTCGTCGGAAAAGCAAGTATTGAATAGAAAATGTTCATCGTTTATAATTAGTTCACTCATATCTTCACAAAATTGTAATCGCCAATCAGAATCGTCTTCATTTAGTTCTTGTAGCACGTGAATTTTATACGGATGAAAACTATGGGCCTTTAGAGTCCGTCCGACAGTACGTCGACTAACACCACATATAGTCTCCAATTTGCGGGTACTTAACGTAGGATCTACATAAACTTGCCCTAAAACCCCCACCTCTATTGCTTCGTCCGTTAAGGGATTTTCAATGATGCGTTTTTTATTGGCGACTGACCCAGTTTCCGGAAATTTAGCTACAACTTCTAGAACATATTTTCGATGCACGTTACTGTTCTTATGTCGCTCATTAAATATTTCTGCTGTTCTATTAGCGCCCTCATTATTTCCGAAAAATATTTCGTTAATTTTAACTCTTTCTGCTGTGGAATATACCATGGTTAATTTATGTAATAAAGCGTTACAAGTTATTTTAGCAACGAAGTTTCGTCAAATCAATCGCAAACTATGTACTAAATTCCAATTTAGAATAAGTACGAGATGTTTCCTTATCTTTCTTCAAAAAAATAACTTTTTTGTCACAAAAAACCGCTACAATAGCTATTTTCAACAACAAAATGATAAACTAACCATGGGCGTAGTGAAGAAAAGCATTTACTTATTAAATAAATTCTTTTAGTCAAATTTCTTATGAAACTAATCTGATGTACCTATTAAAGTCTACTTTAAGATTTAAATCAATAAATCTTAAAAACTACTTAACTAAATCTCATGTATTTTACATCATTATAGAGGGAATTGAAAGACCTTTAAAATAAGGTATCACTCGACCCTCTTTCCATTTAAGATTTGAGGGTTGCTGTCACCCCCGCCCAGGGGGCTGCACGGGTTAACGTGATTTTTTGTCAAACTTATGTCCCCCTCGAAAACAACATCGACGGGTCTGAGCGATTTTCAAAAAACTGAGCTGCCAGTAAATGTGTCTGTTTCGTTTTCGATGCGCCGCCTGTATATAGTAGGAAATGTTTTGTACTTTTTGACGAGGACACCAAATTTAAAATAAAAAAAAAATTAGGGTGCTAACCTGGAAGTGAACATGTCAAACCAACATTTGGGCAAATTCACATTTCTTATTATCTCTTTTTTGTTACTCCAAAATATAGCCTAAGCTGTGTTTCTAGTACATCAGATTTTTTGAAATGGTAATCGGATTAATTAAGCAGGTACGTATTTTTATGTACATACATGTCGCCATGGGTATGATGTTAGCCGCTTGTTCAAGTGGATGGTTTGCGAGATACTGCATTAATAGGCTACACTATAAGTATTTTTCAACTTTAATGACCACTCTAAATATATTTTAACATAAAATAATAGTTTATTTTTATGCAATATTCTTAAATATTGGAATTTGAAAAAAGTAGGGTGCAAAATCGGAAGTAAATATCTTAAATAATATCTGTGATAAAACAACTCTCTACAAGTTTTAGAGTTTAGGATATATCGATTCGAATATTTCAGATATGCATATGTTGATTTAACAGTGACATTTATATGCTGAGTAAAGCGGATTTTTCTACCTATAATGACGCCCAGATTTTTAGCCTTCGATACTAAAGCTATCAAAGATCATTCACATCAAATTAGCAACATCCTGTAAGCTTTGTAGGAGAAAATACAATGACGTTATACTTACTAGGACTGATGATCAGGGAATGCCTGTTTCAAACATTTCAAACATTCATATTGAGTAAACATACGCTAATCTTATAAGAAATTTTATTGATGCTGCATCAATCTGTTGCCCCAAATATACTAAGTGACATATAAATCCGAACACCCAGTTTAAATGGTTTTATTTTAATAAAAGTTGGTGAATTTATTTAACTTACTGTAAATAATAAGTGAAAAATTTTTCAGCCTCATCAGTTGGACATTCCGGTTTTTATACTGCTTTTTTTAATTCACTAACGCTCTAAAAATGAATATTTCAGCCGCAGTAAAGAATCAACGTTGGCGGATTTTGGTTCTTGACATCCTTTACGATCGGTTACGATGCCTAGAGTACGGAGACCTGTACGATTTCGTCAACTTAGTGAGTTTGATAGGGGCCGTATAGTGGGACTTCGGGAAGCTGGACTTTCTTTTCGGGCAATTGCAGTTAGAGTGCAAAGAAGTGTTAGACACTGTGGTTAGGTGTTGTCAGGCATGGCTTCGAGAAGGCCGTACGCAAAGAGCAAGGGGCACTGGACGCCGCCGTAGAACAACAGACCGTGAAGATCGCCGCCTAAGATTATTGGCCTTAAGGGACCGTTTCTCCACTACCAGGTCCATTGCAAATGAATGGTTTGCAGAACACGGAAGACCTATTGGCATGCGAAGTGTTTACCGACGAATGAGAAGTTTTGGCTTGTTTTCATACCGGCTACACTGGGTCCTCCCTTTAACTCGAGAACACCGACGTGATCGTCTTGAGTGGTGCAGACAACGGTCACTCTGGGATCAGGAGTGGAACAGTATTGTCTTTAGTGACGAGTCTCGATTTTGTTTAGGCATGCACGATGGTCGTGCCAGGGTTAGAAGGCGACATGGTGAAAGGAGGAATCCACAGTTTTTTGTTGAAAGACATGTTCATCACACTGTTGGAGTTATGGTTTGGGGTGCTATAGCTTATGGTTCCAGGTCACCTTTAATCTTCATCAGAGGTAACATGAACGCGCAGCGTTATATCCACGAAGTTCTAGAACCCCATCTTTTACCCTATCTTGACACCCTGGCAGATCCAACTTTCCAACAAGATAATGCCCGACCACATGTTGCAAGAGTCACGATAGACTTCTTTCAACATAATGATGTCACATTGTTACCATGGCCACCAAGATCTCCCGACTTATCCCCAATTGAGCACGTGTGGGATATGATGGGTAGGAGATTGCTCAATTTGCAACGTCCTCCTCAGACTCTAGAAGCACTTCGAGAGGAGTTGGTGGTTGCCTGGAATGAGATACCACAGGAGGACATTGACCACCTGATCAGAAGCATGCCTAGGCGCGTTGGAGAATGCGTATCACATCAGGGTGCATCCACACATTATTAAAAGTCAAAGGGCTTTAAAGCAGTGAAATCATTTTGAAATTTTTATCATTTACTTATTATGCTTCATTAAGTACTTATACAAAATTTTATTAAAATAAAACCATTTAAACTGGGTGTTCGGATTTATATGTCACTTAGTATATTTTATAGAATATGGCGGACATCATTGAAAAAAATTGTTGAAATACAAAGACTTTTTAAATGGAATGTTTAATGTCTTATTGCACATTCATATGGACCCTTTTGACAATTAGTTATTGAGTTATAAGCGATCCAATGAACGTCCGCCAGGCCTCCATTTTAGAGGTAGTGAATGTATGGTGTAGGGTCATAAAGCACTAATGAGGGGCTTTAAAATGAGGCATCACATGACTGAAGCTTTTACGATGAAATATAGTATTCATGCATCTATTTCACAACTACCTACCCTGACCGGTTCAAGAGCTGGGGATCTATTTGAAGAGCATTGTATATAATTTAATGATAGAATAGAGTGCGAACAAGAGATTATAGGTATAGCAACCAATATTAAATATAATTGCTGGCTTCATAAACCTTGTAATAGAAGTTACTGCAAATAGATTTAAACAATCATTCAGTATACAATATGTTACGTTAGTGGTAGAAGAGTACCTAAATGCTTGTGTCCTCTATAGAGGTTGTTAAGCTTCCTCTTTACAGAGATCCAGGGTCATCTTGCACGCGATCTTGACAGTCATCGTTACATCGACATTATACAAATTCTCCAATATCTATGACATAATAAAATATAAGATTTGTCGTTCTTCTTTTGCTGCACGTTGCAAATATGACATATTTCCTTTCATAATAAGACGAGCTCTTAGCCAGTTTTAATATCGCCTCATTTAGCCACTTATAGCATTAATGCCGTACCCTTTGCAGCTAAGTAAATGCACCTCTTTGAGGATGGCATTAAATCTCTTAACGTGGAGGGATGAAATAACATTCATTAGGGTGGAAAAATGAGCCGCTGAAAAATGAAGTGCACATAGACATAAAGGAGAGCCAAGGTATTGAAATGTGATTCTTCCATTCCTCTCAGATTTTTTGGCAGCTTCGAATTTTCTAAAATATTTGTAACTGTACACGGTTTGTATCATTTTCATGGGGTTCGTCAGTACGGTCATTGATTAACATCCAATTGAAAGCTTGGTCTGTACGAAAACGAGCATACAATCTCGTATGCACATATAATACAAAAAATAATGCCACATGTCGCTATAAAAGAGAACGCTACTGGAACTCACTTGATTGTGTTCGTGGAAAACAACTAACTCATTAAAATCGCCAAGGACGGACTAACCTTGCAACATTGCATAAAATGTACTTTTGTTTGATATCGCTAAAATAAACTGTTTCAGGGGCCGGTATATTCGACCCCGCAAAGCAATCTGAAAATTCGCCCTGTATAAGGGATAATTGACAATACGTCATATTTTTGCTCGTGAAAGTTTTCAAGTTGTTCAATAGAAAATCCGATTTAAAAACATGGAGATGGACTGTGGAGGTCAAAGTAATGATCCCCCAGCGTCCCCGATGATGAATGGACCCAGCCAGAAGGAGAGAACAGAAATTACCAAGAAATCAAAGGAATTGATGACACCAGCTGTAGCAGACGAAAAGGACGGAACCATCCAGCGCCAGACCCGGATCATCGAAAGCCAGGCCCAGCAAATAAAGGAGCTGAGACAGTTAGGGACCAAAACAGTAAAATAGACTGCGGTGGGTCACTTTTATATGTGAAAAAAAAATGTTCCTTTTTTTCATAAGCTCAGTGACAAAAAGGTGCTAAATCATGAGTGTGAACATGTTATGAAGTTTGATTGCAATCAGAATTAATCTTCTGCCTCCGGAATCATGTGGAAATTGTCAAAGATGGGGTTAAAGGAGGTATAACTGCGTGGCATACAAAGTCACACTAATGAATATAATTTACAAATAAATGTCTTGAATGAATAGTAAGTAAACGTTTATTGAACAGAAAATAATGTTTACAACAAAAATAATAATGAATAATCATTGAGCGAGGGGTTTATTTTGTAGAGAAATCCTTTTTGCTATCAAATTTTGGCATTGCTTTTCTCGAGTCCATCTGGGCTTTGATGAATCCCTCTCTCATTAGCTTATTGCACAAAGTGGTTGAGGCCTCGGTTACAGCTTTGACTGCTCTTTCTACTGCTTGTGTGTGACAAGGAAGGCGTAAGAAATCCAAGTCTCTTTCTCCTTTCTGTTCAATAAATAATCGGAGATATTTTTCGGTTACAGATTTCAATAATGGTGGCTCAGAGATATCTTCTTGCCAATTCAAAAGATCATAATACGTTGATGCATTGAAGTTAATCTGTGGTAACTTAAAAATGCGCAAATCTTTAGTTGTTACTGATCTAGCTTTCAAAATGCGTCGTGCAGCTAATTCACGAATGTGCGGCTGAGAGTCTGTTAACATTGCGAGCAATACGTTTTCCGGATGTGCGAAATAGCTGTTTCTTTGAATTACTGGATCGACGATAGATTTCAAATTTGCTGGTAAATATCTGGATAACTCGATGAGTTTGAAAAAGTGTCGCGATCCATCTTTACAGCTAGAATGAGATTTTATAGAAAACCATATCGGAGCATAAACCTTGATAACATACGTTGCAAGAATAGTTAGACTTTCAGGCGGAGTCTCTACAGAAACATACAGACGGAGGATCCTGTTCGCACGAGTCAGCCACCTCACATGCGACATTTTACCTGGTGATTTATTAGCCAAATCACTAGGAAATACACCGGTTGAGATTGCTTCAACCATTCTGTACAAGTATTTTTGGTCAGTACTGATATCTTTAGCAGAAAGCTCCGGTAAGCTCGTTGGAATAGGCTTAAACTTGCTTATAGGTCTTTTTTCGCAGTTCTCGAGATCTTTGCCAATCGTTCCTGAAAATGTTCGTGGTCCAGAGGTACTACCATCAATATATTGGAACAGATGTCTAAATGGTAGTTCATTCATATGGAATAAACAAATAATCCATTGTAAGGGTCTACCTAACCGTTTCTCTAGCAGTCGTATAATACCGCCATATATGCCAACATTCACATTAGTTCCATCACATCCAATTGCAGTTAAATCATCGACGGATATATCAGCATTCAAGAAAAAGTCAAATATTTCATTTGCTATACACTTTGCAGTGCCTGAAGCAGGTGTAATATAGCCTAAAAACTCCGAATAAGGTTCTTTTATCAAAGAAATGTGCTCTTCAACTATGCGTTTTCTATAGTTTTTTCCTTCTATTTCAGACATCATTAGAGTCTGATCTTTTCTTCCGTCAAAATACAATGCGTGTATTTGTGAAACAGTTTGCTGTGAAACTATATTTTCTCTGGCCTTTTTTCGTTCTCGGCGTAGTTTATTTTTATCTATTACTTGAGAACCCGACGCATGTAGAACAACTGATGCGATAGCTGCTCCTGCCCTATCCGACACTCCGAATCTATCGCATGTTTTTGATAGCAAAGTATAATCAAGTCTAGTGTCACTCTTAGATTGACCACTTGAAGTCCTCAACTTGATTTGTGTTGGTTCTTCAGCATCGGACTGAACACTTTCGGATTCAGAAGTGCTACTCAGCTTTTCCGTACATGTTTCGGTTTTTTTCAGTCGTTTGCTCTTAGAATTTTCTCGTATTGACTTCCTTTTCAGTGTTTTTGTAATTTTTGTTGTTGTGACAACATCTAAGGCACCTATCACCATTTGCCTAGCGGTTCGTTGATCAGTTATAAAGCCACGTTCTCTTGCAGGTATTTTCTTGTTTTTCGGGCAAGCACATTTGAGAAACTCTTGACACTTGCAAGCCGAAATATCAAACAAGGCTTTACTCCCAAGACGAAACCCTTCCAACGTGTTTTTAGGTATTCTTGGATTAGATTTGAGGAGATTTTTGCATTTTAAGTTATACGTTTGTAACATTACCTTCATTCGTTTGGGTTCAACTGTAGGGATAGAGGATTTTGCCCATATTTCTATCAGTCTTGCAACTACAATGGCCTCTATTTCTTTATATGTTGGCTCTTTATTTGTTTCTCTCTCGTATTTCAACCTGTGTCGGGTCCACTCATAAAATCGCATTACATCCCCATAGGTTGGCAATACGTTGTCTTTCAAGTCATTTAAATCACCAAATATCGGACACTTCCAACTATTTCGAGTACGTTCCATTTTTCTGACAGCGAAACTTACACGTCCGCACTTTCTAACGCAAGATACTGATTGCGATGAACTGTGCGCGACTTGTCTTTTCCCCGTGTGTCTTACCTAACACCCCCACTCTTACCCCTCCCTCTCCCTGGCTACTTGAACTCAACCAAACAGTAGCTAACACTAACGCTTAGGCAACCAAAGTAACAGGAACCATAATCGAAGATGCATAAAGAATTAGTAAAGTGACGCCCGAGGAGACGCTAGAAGTTTACGTACACACAATGCTTTAGTACAATCCGGAGGCAATAAAACTCAGAATTATGTAATAAAATTTTACATATGAACTAACGGCACCATTTGGCACCTTTTTATTACTGAGCCTTTTTCAAAACCGAAAAAAAAATTTTTTGACCCACCCTACTGCCTAACCACCCAGGTAACATAGTTAATCATTATGCAAATTTTAATTCTAAATCTGACAAGGCTGTCAATTTAAAAAGGCCTCTTGAAAATTTAACTGACGTCACATCGACCGACGGTGAAATACAGAATGACGGATTCATCCAGGCAAAGTCTAGGAAAAGACGCATCGACAAAACGAACAAAACCGACAAGACGGATGACTTCCCACCTCTTCCAAAAGCAAAATCAAAATTCAAGTTGTCAGTCCCCTCAAACCCTTCTGCCCCGTTAAACGTATCAACTTCTTCTACCACTTGTCCTATGACGGTCGATGCAGAGACCACATCTTCTCAATCTTTGGCCACTGCATCGACTGACGGTGCATTATCTCAACAATCTCACATTGCTGGTGAGTTGATCAGCACAGCACCCCGCCAGGGGCGAATCACGCCCATTGTTTTGCGTGATGCGACCAAGTGGCGACATCTAAACTGCACCTATATAAGCTTAGACATTAAGATAGAACGTTGCCGTTGATGCGGGAATCAGGATTTTGCCGAAAACTGAGGCTGACTACCGAAGAATCGTTCGCCTGTTCAGGAAGGAGCACGTGCCCCATCATACGTTCCCTCTTCCTTCAGAACGAAATATTCACGCTGTAGTCAGAGGCATACCCGCAATGTTTTCGGAACAGGAGATCAAAGGGGAATTGGAATAGAGGGGATATACTCCTCTCCCCATTATCCGACTCAAACGCAGTGGCAGCGCACCCATGCCTTTGGTGGTCGTAATACTGCCCAAGATTGAAAAGTCCCAGCAGCTGTTCAATGAACATGAGCTGCTGGGTCTAGCAATCAGAGTTGAAGTTCAAAAGAACTCTAGACTTATTGGGAAGTGTCACCGCTGCCAAAGGTATGGTCATGCGCAGCCTTACTGCACAGCACCTCCCAAATGTCTAAAATGTGCTTCCGACCACATGACACATTTATGCCCCCTCACAGGACACGAGGAGCGAAAGTGTGCGAACTGTGGAGGGGCGCATCCCGCTAACAGTCCCACTTGCAGATTCATCCCCAGGCGAAATCTGAAAGTCATAGCGCAAAGACGCAGCAAGTCGTACGCGGAGGCAGCCGTCTCAACATCTTCGGCTGCCCCCTCTGTTCAACCCACTTTGAACACGCAGAATGTGGACCTAGCAACTGCACTTAGGTCCCTTCAGCAAATAATAAGTCCCCTGATTAGCGCCACTCAGGTATTGCGGGCAATCTTTCCGCAGCCATTGAATGGCTAAGTACAATAGACAACCTGCATTTATCATCTGTCAGGTATCTTGGAGTCATCATTGACAAGGGGTTGCCTGGCAGAAACATACTGATATTCTGAAAACAAAATTCCAAATTACCTTTCGGCAGCTTTATCCTCTGTTGTGCGGAAATTCAAAATTAAGTTTGATCAACAAGATTCGGTTGTTTAAAATGGTCAAAGACCCGCAATCACCTACGCATGCGCGGCTTGGTGTTTTCTTGCCAAGACGCACATGCGGAGACTGCAAGTCCTGCAAGACAGAACCCTACGCACAATTACTAATGCCTCTTGGTACGTGTCAAATGAGACTATTCACAGAGATCTTGATATCCTATAGTTAAGGGATTACGTAAAACAACAGGCGCAGCGGCGTTATAATCAAGCGGAATCGCACAGCAACCCTCTGTTGCGTGATTCAGTAGACCACTCAGTCGAGCAAGTTCGCAAACATTCCAGGCCGCGCCTCGCACTGTGATCAAAATTAAATTGTAAATTCAGTCCAGCCGAAATTATTTCAGTATACAAAACCGATCAAAATTATTTTTTGGGGTTACAAAATAATTCGAGTAGTCAAAGCAATAATGCTTAAGCTATTTCAAATGATTTACTTCTTTTCTTTGCTCTATTTCTTCCTTTCTTTCTTTCCTTCTTTCCCTTTTCCCCTTAAACATGTTTGGTATCTGGGTAGCCAGACCTGACAGACTAACAGACCGACGAGCCTTTTAACTAAGAGCAAAGGTCCACTGGACCGTTCTGACGAATAATGACGAATAGTAGTATAGTGGGCCGGTATGCTTGTTATTCAAAATGGTACAAGCAGTTCAGCGAATATGACATTTGCAGTTGATTTTGATATGCTTGTTATTGCCACGCTTAGCGTTTTTCAAAATCGCTTAAAAACGATTGCTAAGTTGTTGGCGTTTTATTCATCGCGACCAGTTACTATCTAGGGTGTTAGGTCTAACTGATACGATGTTGTGGCAGTTTTTGAATCTATTTCCAGTACCTAGTGGCGAGCCAGTTAATTAGAACGTTAGTTTAACCAGAAATATTGAAAACTTGGAGATGCAAAGATTTGATGCCGACGACCCCTATGAATTCTCAGAGTTTGTAAAAAGAATTGTAAACCTATGGCGTCTAAGAAAAGAGGATGTGCAAAATTTGGAGGAAATGCTGTTACCACCTTTGCCAGTGCTTTATAGATTGCACGTTATTAGTAATCGAGCAAAAGCAAGTAACAATAATGAACTACTTGGACTTGCAAGACAGACAAAAAATAGATACTGAATAGTACTGAAACACTGATGTTTTTATTATAAAATAATCGGTTCTCTAATTAGTTACCTAACATAATGTCAATAAACAAATCTAACCATCCTCCAGTTAATGTAGTACACATATGCTTATATGGCATTATTTTTCTATATACTCTATGCGCTTCTTTTTTAGTGGAAGCTACCATCTTTACGTAGGCAGAAATCTTAGCTGGTCATCTCCTTCAAACGAGAGTATATTGGTAACATTGAAAAAAGCACCGTTGCCAAGATATGCCAGGCGGATTAAACTTAACCCTCGGTAGGGCGCGTCAGCGGCAAAAAGCAAGCAATGAAAGAATTTGAACAGGAAAGGGCTGATGAAGATGATCCAAGTGAGTCGGAATCCGAATCAGATGAGATAGTGGAAGAAGACCAATATAGCAGCGATTTTGAACAATCTGAATGTGACAGTGATATGAACTTGGGAGACGTCTTCCAACGGCAAGATGATGACCAGTTCTTTATAGGAAAAGATCAAGAGACGATTTGGAAAAGTACTCCTCTACCTTCTGCGAAAACTGCTTCAAAAAATATCATCAAATTACTACCAGGTCCCAGAGCAGCCGCTAAAAATACTCCCAAAGAAATAGATGCTTTTAATGTATTTATCACAGAACGTATGATCGAAGATATTGTTACTAATACTAACATATATATTCAAAAAAAGAGGTCTGATGTTGATTATTCTAGGGCCAGGGATTGCCGTGATAGAAGAATTGAAATCAGAGCTTTGTTTGGTGCTCTATATTTTATCGGCAGAAAAAAAGGAAGGCACAGAAACTGTTGCGAATTATGGGATCCCGAACATGGTCACATCATTTTACGTGCATTATTCAGCTACAAAAGATTCAAGTTTCTTCTTCGAGCCCTTAGATTTGACGACTTGAATTCTAGAGAACAGAGGAAGTCAAGTGACAAGCTTGCACCAATTCGTGACTTTCATGAAACATTTGTGAGTAACTGCATTCCTAATTTCATTGTAAGTGATTTCGTGACAATCGACGAAATGCTACATCCATTTAGAGGATGGTGTTGCTTTGCTCAATATATTCCCAACAAGCCTGCCAAATATGGACTTAAAATATAATGCACTATGTGATGCCAAGACATTTTACACATATAACTCCGAGGTCTATTGCGGAAAACAAACGCCAGGTCCTTACTTGAAGTCCAACAAACCAGCTGACATTGTCAAAAGATTAGTAGTTCCGATTGAGGGTTCAAAAAGGAATCTTACTACTGATAATTATTACAGTAGCTTTCCATTGGCGGAATATCTCCTACAAAAGGGAATTACTTTTCTTGGAACATTGAAGAAAAATAAAAGAGAAATACCGTTTGAATTCTTGGCTCGTAAAGATAGAGATATTAATTCGAGCATTTTCGGCTTTCACTATGATTGTTGTTTGGTTTCAACTATGCCAAAAAGAAGCAAAGCTGTGATTTTCCTTTCAACAATGCACAATACCAGTGACGTAGATGAAGTTACCAAGAAGCCTGTGGTAAATTTAGACTACAATGCCACAAAGGGTGGTGTCGAAAAGGTCAAAATTCTGAATGCGGTGCAAAAGCCGCAGTGCGCCCACTCATGAGAGTTGACAAGGCGCGCCCGCCGGAGAGTTAAAGCGTACGCACAGCAACGTGAATACCTAAACCAAAAAGTTAACGCTTTTGCCGTATGACAAGATAAGCTAAGCGTTTTGAAAACATATCGCTTACAATCTAAATAATGAAACAACCGGTCCTGCTCTGTTAATTTTGGTAGAGGACTAAAAAGCTGATAACGCCATTTTAGGGACATTTATGAGTGAGGACGAATTAACGATTCAAAATATTAACCACACGCAGCAACCTATTCTTACCTTAAAACACTACAAACACGTGCCTATTGGGGTGTTTTATGCTGATGTGAAAACACGGTTTGCCAGTTTGGATTGGATGTTTTAGCAGGACACGTTTCGGCGCCTGTCAAATGCACATTTTTTCCTATTTATTCATTCATATCCATTCCAGACCATACGTTGATAGTATGGTTGATAGTGTTCGTTACAGATACAGCAAATATTTATGGTCACTTCTAGTTTTCCAAAAACTGACAACAAATTTAAAATGGCGGAAGAGGGAATGTTTACCCACGTAGTTGCAGGAAACCTTACCATGGAGTATTCTCTCCCTCCACTGGAAAACTGTTTTTCGAACAACTTTTTAAAGATAATGCGTGGATTAACGAAATTTTGATGGAGTGGTGATCATTTGGGTCCGCATACATATGTCCTTAAAAACAACTCAATTAGGTCTTCAGGGACGGACTAGAACTAATGAAATATTGCCAGTGCTCTACAATAGTTCACAATTATTTTTTTTTAGAAAGTCAGACACTTTTAGCTTTAAATGTTTACAGAATCAATATATTTTTGTTTTTCATTGTTTATATACAGGGTGTAAAGTTAATAGTGGATCAATGGAAATCAGATGATAGAGTGGCTGAAAACCAATCGAATGAATCCCTATATGTGTGGTCCGAAATTTTGTAATTCAGGAGATATTTGCAATTTTATGAAATTTCGAAAAAAACGGGATAATGAACTTTCAATCGCAATTACAACTATTGCTGTGATTTTTTCTGGTATGAGCTAAATGGTTAGATTTAAGAATGGTTATGTCATTTTTTAACAGAGCTTATTAGAAAGCAACGTAAAAAATCTTAAATTGATTTTTTTGTGAAAAATGTCTTATCCTAGCAAGCTTAAATTATAAGGCTTCTTCTTCATGGATTAAAATGGCCTTTACAGTAAAATGAATAATGAAATACAAGCTCAATTTTTGTTACCGCTCTCCAAAGTTGAGGGATGGAAGAGACTTTTTACGAAAAAATGAATTTAAGATTTTTTGCGTTGATTTCTGATTAGCTCTATT